CCCACCCCCGTCCCGCCGCATCATCCCCCCTAGCCCCGGTCTGGCCCTCGGACAAGCCAAACCCCGCTCCTCCCGTGCGGTTCTTCCCGGCCCGGCCCATCCCGCCCCACAGGGCGACGTGAGGAGAGGGAACCTGGGGGCGTACCTGTGCACTGGCTGCGGAGAAGACCCCGCAGGCGCCTGCCGGACAGAGCCACTCTGGGCAGGAAAGGGTTACGGCGGGAAGCCCCGCCCCCGGGAGCCCCGCTCGCGCATGTTGATTGGCCACGGAGCTCGTCCCTCCTCCGGTAGCCCGCCCCACATATCTCATTGCCGGAGGTCTGGGGATGAATGGAAGTGGCGGGTCTCCGACCGACCGCGCGTCCTCTCAGGGACCCCGCGCGTCACCCGTCCTCTGGGTTCTTTAAGTCCCCGCTACTCTCAGCCAGGCTGGGCCGGGCCCCAAGAGCTGCATGCGCTCCCTGTCTTCCTCGGGGGCGCAGTCAAGCCGGGCCCCTCTGACGAAGGCCTTTCATACAACTCAGGCCACCAAAGTGACGCGGCTTCTGTCCGTCTAGCAGGGCCCGGCCACATCAACCGCCTCGGCCTTACGCCAGCACACCCAGGCCGGGCCTCCTCTAGGTCCATGACAAAGAAGTCCCCACATTCCCATGGAATGTACCCCGAGTCATGGGAGGCGACAGGGCATAGTGCAACCCCCTCGACCAAAATCTCTATTTAAAAGGCTTCCATGATCCACGTACCTCAAAAGATATGGAAAAAGTTCCAATAGAGCAAAAGACCCTGATGATGGCTGACCACCGCCTTGTGGAAAGGCACGAGCCTCTGCGATGAACTAGAATTTGGGTCTGATGGACTGTTCCCACTCTCACCCATGAAAGTGCCTTGGGGTGGTGGGTTGTGTGATGACCACAAATCCCCCCACTGAAATATGCTGGCTCCTTTGCAACGGGCTTTGTCTCCATCCCCGTGAATGTGGACTGGCCTCTGTGGCTTGCTGTGACAGCAGAGTGTGGCAGGAGCACGCTGTGGGGGTCCCGAGCCCTTCTCTCATGGGCCACATCCCTGAGTCTGACAGGGAAGGAAGCTGTGTGAGAGGCCATATGCAGGGCACCGAAGCACTGCCAGACATGGAGGAGGCCCCGCCACCTGCAGGAAGCCACATGGAGGAGCCCAGGGAAATCAGCAGAGCCTGATCAGTGATAAACTACTGTTATTTTAAGCCAGCAAGATCCGGGTCATTTCTTACACAGCAATAACCGATGTATTTGGCAAGTGACTGAACATAGTGGGTTCTGGCTTTTTTTTTTTTTTTTTTTTTTTTCTAAAGATGACCGGTAAGGGGATCTTAACCCTTGGCTTGGTGTTGTCAGCACCACGCTCAGCCAGTGAGCGAACCGGCCATCCCTATATGGGATCCGAACCCGCAGCCTTGGTGTTATCAGCACCACACTCTCCCGAGTGAGCCACGGGCCGGCCCGGGTTCTGGCTTTTTGATAGATGGAATAATAGTAATGGTTGTGAAATATCTGACATAAAAGTACTTCTGAACTCCAGAGTGCCATGCTACACAAATGCCAAGTCCCTCAGATGATCACATTTAAAGAGCTTGTAACCCAGGGGGCCAGCCCGTGGTTCACTTGGGAGAGCGTGGTGCTGACAACACCAAGTCAAGGGTTAAGATCCCCTTACTGGTCATCTTTTAAAAATAAATAAATAAATAAATAAAATAGAGGGCTTGTAACCCAATGAGGGGAACAAAAATATTAAGTAGAAAGGATGACAAATGAGAATTATGTACTTAAAAACATCTGTAACATAAGATAAGCCGGACACAAAAGAACAAATACTGGGTGATTCCCCTTCTAGGAGGTGCCTAGAGTAGTCAAATTTATGAAGACAGGAAGTAGAGTGGTGGGTTCCAGGGGAGGGGGAGGAGGAGTTAGTGTTTAACAGGTGCAGAGTTTTAGCTGAGAAGATAAAGTTCTGGAAATGAATGGTGGTGATGGTTCCACAACAATGTGAATGCACTTAATGCCCCTGAACTGTACACTTAAGCATGGTTAAAACACTAAATTTTATGTTATGTATATTTACCCACACACACAAACCATCTGTAACAAACTATACACAGAACACCCCATCTCCCTGACATCACTGGTAAATGAGGTTCTCCATACAATATAGATTTCTGAATAACTGTTATCCCTCCGTGATTAAGAATTTTATGATTTTTATCTGATTGAAAATTTATCCATTTAAGATGGATATCTCAGAGCTCTTATCACCCTCTTCACTGCCTAGGGAAACAGTATACCCATTTCATCCCGTTTTACAAGATAAGTGTCTCCACCATCCAGTTCCCTTGCAACATCCCCTCCTCCCTCGGGCCCTTTCTCAACCCCACACCCTGCTCTCTGCAGTCTCCAAACCTCTCCTCTTCTTCTGTTTTATTTCCATTTGGACTATCAAGGTACTTATGTCTTCTGTATCTTAAAAAAAACACTAACAAAAATTCTTCCTTCCCTCAACCACTGACTTTGCAAGAACAGCCCCCACCCCTTCCTTCCCACCTCGGCTGTCTGGCAGCTGCACCCCCATTCTGCAGACACCACCCTCGTCTCAGGCCACTAGGCAGCATTGGCACCAGCTTGGACATTCCATCAACTATGTTCTCCCTCCAAAACACCTGCTCTGGCTGTGTGTGGCCTTCAGGGAAAGAGTCTGCCACGTGCAAAAACATACCACAATCTGTGGTCCACCCATACGGTAGAATATTATTCAGCCATAAAAAGGAATGAAGGGGCCGAGCCCGTGGCGCACTTGGGAGAGTGCCGCGCTGGGAGCGCAGTAGCGCTCCGGCCGCGGGTTCGGATCCTATATAGGGATGACTGGTGCGCTCACAGTGCTCACTGGCTGAGCGCGGTGTGGCCGGTCTCAAAAAGGACAAAAACATAAAAAATAAAAAAATAAAAAGGAATGAAGAGCTGACACACACTACAATATGGATGAACCTTGAAGACATTGTGCTCAGTGAAAGAAGCCAGTTACAAAAGAGCAGGTATTGTATGATCCCACTTATATGAAATGTCCAGAATAGGCCAATCTATAGAGACAGAAAGCAGATTAGTGAATTCCTACGGTTGGGAGGAATTGGGAGATTAGGGAGTGATGGCTAAGGGGTGTGGATTTTCTTTCTGGGATGATGAAAATGTTCTAAAATTAATTGTGGTGACAGCTGCACAACTCTGTAAATATATTAAGAACACTGAATTGCATACTTTAGGTGGGGTAATTGTATGGTATGTGAATTACATCTCAGTAGAGTTGTTAAAAAACAATCTTTGTAGGTAAGACTCACATCCCAAGGGTCACATGGTTGAAAACAGCTTTCTATACCATAAACAGGTCTAGTAAATAGCAGAAGCTTCTCCCTCCTGGGTTTGGTTTCCCCACCAAAGGAGAGGGGTGGTGTGGATTATACATTGTGATGTGTTTTAAGTTCTAATATTACATCCTAAAAATGATATAGAAATCATTTTTTTGAGTCTTATAGAAGACATCTTAAAAAATAAACTTTTAAAAAATGTTAACAAAGGCCGGCCTGTGGCTCACTTGGGAGAGTGTGGTGCTGATAACACCAAGGCTACGGGTTTGGATCCCATATAGGGATGGTCAGTTAGCTCGCTGGGTGAGTGTGGTGCTGACAACACCAAGTCAAGGGTTAAGATCCCCTTGCCGGTCATCTTTAAAAAAAAAAAAAAATTTAAAAATTAAAAAAAATATATTAACAACATGATACTGGTAAGTCACCATAATCCTGCCACCTAAATGCACAACTATTTCTATTCTTGTATTAGTATCTTTAACACACACTTTATCTTCTGTAGCACACACACATTGTGTTCAAACATGTTGTGTGCCACTGTATTCCTCTTTAGGGGAGGAAACCCCCACCTGCAGACTGGATGAAGCACTTGTTTTTTGTTGTTTTTGTTTTTGTTTTTTAAAAGATGACCGGTAAGGGATCTTAACCCTTGGCGTGGTGTTGTCAGCACCACGCTCAGCGAGTGAGCAAACTGGCCATCCCTATATAGGATCCGAACCCGGGGCCTTGGTGTTATCAGCACCACACTCTCCTGAGTGAGCCACAGGCCGGCCCTAAATTCTTTTTGGTTTTTTGGGGTTTTTTTTTGTCAGCTGGCCTGTACAGGGATCGAATCCTGGACCTTGGTGTTATCAACACCATGCTCTAACTACGGATGAAGCACTTGTAAAAGACCAAAGTATCATGTCATGTACTACTGTAGGCCCATAATAGGAAAACACAAATTTAAATCCTCAGCAGCAATATTCTACTTGGCCACAGGATGGTGATGTTGCTTCTTAAAATATTCCTACTGCTTTCTTGGTAAAATTAAATGTGACCCAATGTTTTCATAATAAGAATGCAGGGGTTTTTTCCATATCAGAAAAAACATTCAAGAGGACTTCCAAAAAAATGTTGCATTTACAAAAAGTATTAGTTAGAAAGCAAAACCCAATTAACAAATTCAGCAAAGATTATCTTTTCTAAACTACACAAGTAAGGTTTTTCAAAAAAAAAGACCAAAATATGACGTAGACACTGACATCAGCTGTAGCCCTCAATCCCCTTGTCTTTCCTTCTACTTCTTCTCTGCTCCGGTCTTATTTGTTATTTACTGACCAATTTTATTTTACGTGTTCATAACTTAAAACATTTCAGGAAGTAATATATCAAAATGTTAAAAGTAGTAACAATAGTGATTTTATTTTTTCTTAAATTTCTTTTGTCTTCAAAATTGTTTACAATGTGCATGAGCTCTTTTTACAGTGGGAAAACATTTAACACTTTAAAGATGAGCAGAATCTCCTTCTCTTCATAACTCTCAGAAAGAACAGGGATTCTATTACTATATAACATAACATTATACAAGAGTGAAGAGGGATATAAAGTAAAACAAATAGAATAGAGGAATTAATAAAATTGAGTATATTAATATCCCTCTTGCAGGACTTGCAGAGCCTCAAATATCTCCCCCAAGATACTGATTAACTGCAAGGGGAAACAGAGTAACTGGACAGAGGTGAAACCCTGCAGACACCCCCTAACTGGTCAAGGTCAACTTTACCAGTAATAAGATATAGTGACATCATGAACTCCTTGATAAGACGCATGGAGAAGGACCCAATATCATCTCTCTGATATTCCTGCCAAAAATGTGGTCCCCGTGCTAATCAGACAAGCCCCAGTTGAGGTACCTTCTACAAAACAACCAACCCCAACACTTCGAAAGTCTCAGTGTCACTAAAGACAAGGAAAGACCAAGGAACTGTCACAGACTGGAGGAGAATAAGGAGACACAAGAGCCAAATGCAGTTCAGGATCAGATTGGATCCTGGAATAGGAAAAACACGTTATGGGAAAAACTGATGAAATTTGAGTAAGATACAATAGTTCAGGTTAATATTAGTATACCACTGTTAATTTTTGGATTTTGATCATTGCACAATGTTAAGTGAGATGTTGACATTCAAGGAAGCTGGGTGTTGGGTATACAGGAATTCTATGTGCTATTTTTGAAATTTTTTTAAAGTCTAAAATTAATGCAAAATAAAAGCTTTTTGAAAATCCAAGTTTCAAACTCATAGACAGAAGAGGAGTTGACAGAGAGCAGAAGGGACCCAGAGCCCTCCTAGGCAGATTGGTGATAGAGAGAGCATGAGAGAGCACCCTGTCCCTCTGGTCCTCCTGCCCAGGCCAGCAAAAAAGTGACCTGCTCAGGGTCACTTTGTTGGTAATTGACCTGGGACATAAGTCAGAAAAAAGTCAGGCCTTACCTGCATTACTGTGACCCAACAACCTCCCTTCCAAGTGTCACCATCATCCCCGTGCTGCCCCTGGGGAGATAGAGGCCTCAGGGACTTAAGCAAGTGGCCCAGGACCAAATAGCTAGTGAGAGCCAGGACATGAACCCAGGCCCGGCTCGTTCAGAGCCAAGGCACCTTTTCTTGGCCCTGAGCAGCAGATGCTTATGGTAAGAAAGGCCAGTTCCAAACAAAACTGCTCCACAGAGCTGAGGTCTTGCCTTTGAAGCAAGTAGTCAGATGCACTGATGTGTCCCTACAAACTAGCTACTTTGTCATTGATTATAATTTTGCATTATAGCCACTTCCAGCTTAATTTCGTCAATGGGAGGCACCGCAGGAGGTCGGACTGGGAGCCAGATGTTCCTGCAGCTCCCAGCCCTGGCAGTGTCTCCACCAGTGCTGTCTCCTCCAGGGTCCGGCTGCACACAGCCATTGCCAGCTGCCCCTGCCCCTTCAGCCTGGCTGTGTGGCAGCCTGTGGCCACTGCTAACTTCTGGGTTCCCTCACTGTCTCCTGTTTGGCTTCTCAGCTTTTCCACCACCAGGGAGAGCAATTAAATTCTCTGTTGAAATCTCAAAGAAGTTTCTTTCTTTTTTTTTTTTTTTTCGTGTCCGGCAACGGATCGCAACCCTCAGTGTCGCGCCCGTACCGGACCGGGACCGGCAACGGGATCGCAACCCTCGGTGTCGCGCCCGCACCTCGCTCAGCCAGTGAGCGGGAACCGGTCTGCATGTGGGATCCGAACCCTCGGCGGGAGCGCCGCCGCACTCCCAAGTGGCGCACTGTAGCAGTGCGCCACCGGGCCGGCCCTCAAAGAAGTTTCTTTCTTTTTTTTTTTTTTTCGTGTCCGGCAACGGATCGCAACCCTCAGTGTCGCGCCCGTACCGGACCGGGACCGGCAACGGGATCGCAACCCTCGGTGTCGCGCCCGCACCTCGCTCAGCCAGTGAGCGGGAACCGGTCTGCATGTGGGATCCGAACCCTCGGCGGGAGCGCCGCCGCACTCCCAAGTGGCGCACTGTAGCAGTGCGCCACCGGGCCGGCCCTCAAAGAAGTTTCTGTTTTCCTGGATGCACTCTTCAAGAATCTAAAGGACTATGATCTCAACACTTGCATTACCAAGCACTAACAATGCGCCCGGAGCTCGGTGCATGCTATTTCACTTTCTCTTCTACAGAACTTCATCATTCAGATCCCACTGTTCTTTCACATTACAGAGGAGGAACCTAAGGATTAATCTGAGGTTCCTGTGATCAATAGCTGCGCCAATAAGACCAGAATCACCATTCAAACCTCCTGTGTCTGCTGTTGGGGCCTAAGCTCTTAAAATGAGTTAAAATGGTTCCTTTTAAATTGATTCCAACCCATTGGTACCAGTGGGTTCAGACGGGTGGTTCTCAGCTGGGGTGATTTTGCCTTCCAGGTGACATTTGGCAATGTCTGGAGACATTTTTGGTTGTCACAACTGGGGGTGGATAAGCTACGGCATGCTAAGAGGGTATTTCAAAAAGTTCATGATAAAATAGAATTGAAATGTGAATCCTTCTGGGAACTTTCTGACATACCCTTGTACTAAAATCTAGGGGGTGGAGACCAAGGATGCTTTTAAACACTCTACATGCACCCCACATCAAAGCCACGCAAAAAGCGCCAGGGTGGAGAAACCCTGCTTAAGACCATCATTAAAAAACTGAAATAGAATTGAAAAGAATCTATTCATATAATGAGGTTAAATACACTCTTCATGAAACTTTTATTTCAGTTATTTGCATGTGCAATTCTAGTCTGTACAAGAACCACCCAGGTCACTTGAAAATGACGATTCCTGGGTTTCACATCCAAAATTCTGGCTGTGGGCCGGCCCGTGGCTCACTCGGGAGAGTGCAGTGCTGATAACACCAAGGCCTCGGGTTCGGATCCCATATAGGGATGGCCGGTTCGCTCACTGGGTGAGCATGGTGCTGACAACACCAAGTCAAGGGTTAAGATCCCCTTACCGGTCATCTTTAAAAAAAAAAATAATAATAATAATAATAATAAATTTAAAAAAAAAAAGTCTAATCTAAGATCCCTATGAAGACTTTTAGCAACTTTTAGCAAAGCAAAGGCTTATCTGATGAATTGTTTAAGTTATCTATATAAGTTATCATGCCAAATCTAATAAAACCAGCCTGATTTCATAACCAAAAATATCTTTCATTGTTTACGAGACTGAATGGAAAATTTGTGCTTTAGTGGAAAACAATGCATTAAGAACACATCCTTCCAAGTTACTGGATTCTAGCCTCTCATTGACTTTCGAGCTATTTTTATTACTCTCTACATTGTAGATAACTGAGAATAATTCAAAATAATTCTTGTCTATAGACTAAATTATCTCTTTCCATGTAAATAAATACAGACATGTAAATAAATCCCCTCACTGTGGAAGAAGACACTTTTGCCTCTATTTGCACATTCATTTCTATATTCCTGATCTATAGTCTTCTAGAATCTTCTTTGGATTCTCTTCCAAACTGGTTGTAACATCTTACTGGTTCTCTAATAATGAGATTAAGTAACATCTTTAATATGTGTTCATTTTGTATCTGAATAAAAGATTTTTATTTCCTTTGTTTTGCTCTAAGTCACTATTTTTCAAATTGCCCTGGTCATCAGTCCTCAAATCATTAGGTTCCAGTTAGCACTTTTTTTTTTTCTAAAAGATGACTGGTAAGGGGATCTTAACCCTTGAGTTGGTGTTGGCAGCACCACGCTCTCCCAATTGAGCCAACCGGCCATCCCTATATAGGGATCCGAACCCGTGGCTTTGGTGTTATCAGCACTGCACTCTCCCAAGTGAGCCACGGGCCGACCCGCAGTTAGCCCTTTTTAAAATTACATAGAAAATATCAATTTGCATTGCATGTAATAAAAGTGAGTGTTATTTTATGAGACTTTTATTTGTTATCCATATGTACATTTACTCTAGGTTGATTTCAATGTATTTTTTTTTTTAACTTTTGGTACTCTTTGTTTTGAGGTAAATAGTTGGGCCCTAATGTGTTTATTCTGTAATATTCACTTTTCATTCCACAAAAATTTGTTAAGAGAATGGAGTATTTTGAAGTCAGGCAGATGTAAAACTTCTCAAAAGTTTGTGGTTTATCATTCTCTTAATCTCTCTCCCCTCTGTACCTCAAATTGATGGTACAGGGCAATTTGAGTGCAATAGGCAGATCACCTGTTTTGATACTACTGTCCTGCTGGTGGTCACAAGGGCTCAGTGTAGAATCAAGAGTTGCACAATATTATAAACTGTTAGGTGCCTCTGACGCACTGGGTCCAAACCCTAATCAGTAAGGTCATGAAAGCCAGGAGCCTTTCTTGGCAGCTGACAGTGGATCAACAGATTTACCTTCGTACGTGAGAGTGAGAACTACCATCATCACCCACCAACACCTGGGGTCTGGCGCTGGCTTGCTGGGCAGAAGATTGCGGGCTATTCTGGGTTGGTTCCACCTGGGAAAGAGGAAAAGTGGCCAACGAGATGCTGTAAGTGAAATTCTTCTATAAACTGTAAATCATTACACAAGAACAAGGAGTTTTTTGTCCATGCCCAAAGGGGGTCCTAAATGGTGGAACAGGGAGGAGGGAAGGCCTTCCTGTTTAAAAAAGCTCCTGACCCCAACAGCTTCCACCCCTTCAATTCCACACTAATGAGCCATGGGGTTTAGAGGTGGACTTTGCCTGGTTCATAAACCCTCCTATGGCTACCATGCATAGGCTGTGTATATGAATACAGGCATTATTCCCGGGAGAGGTTGCAGGTGGTAGTGATCTCCCAAAAGATTAAGAATTATGACTCTAAAGCAAGATGTCACAACCTCAGCACCATTGGCATTTTGGACCAGATAATTCTTTGCTGTGGGTTGCTGTCCTGTTCAATGTAGGAAGTTTAGCAATGTCCCTGGCCTCTACCTGTTAAATGCCAGTATTAACCCCCACCACTTCCCGTTGTGACAACCAACATTGATGAATGTCCCCTGAGGCACAAAATTGCCTGAGAACCACTGCTCCAAAGCAGACAGTACAGAAAGGGAGATTCCAGCTAATGGGACCCCAGCCCCATATCTATTCTCCAATCACCCGAGATCAGAATCTTAGGTATGAGGGGTCTTCAAACAGTTCATGGGAAATGTGTATTATAAAAAAAAAAAATGCATGGATTTCAAAAAGTTTTTGCACCAAAACAAACTCATATTAACTTGTTTTAACATGTCTGGATAGGATCTAGTTTAAGTCACTAAGAAAGATAGGACATCAGTTTGAAAACAGTCCTTATCAGGGCAACATGAATTCTGCTAAAATTGAGGAAAGAACAAACATCAAATATGTGGTGAAGCTTGTGTGGAAGAGTGGGAAAGTCACTGATGCTTTACAAAAAGTTTATGGGGATAATACCCCAAAGAAATCAGCAGTTTACAAATGGATAACACATTTTAAGAAGGGACAAGACAATGTTGAAGATGAAACCCACAGTGGCAGACCAGCCACAAACTGTGCATTTTCCTCACAAAATAATGAATCTTGTCTGTGCCCTAATTAAAGAGGACTGATAATAAACAGCAGAAAAAAGAGCCAACACCATAGACATCTCAATTAGTTCAGCTTACACAATTCTGACGGAAAAATTAAAGTTGAGTGAACTTTCTGCTTGATGGGAGCTAAAACTGTTGTGCCCAGATCAGCTGCAGACAAGAGCAGAGCTTTCCATGGAAATTTTAAACAAGAGGGATCAAGATCCTGAAGCATTTCTTCAAAGAATTGTAACAGGAGATGAAACATAGCTTTACCAGTACAATGCTGAAGACAAAGCACAATCAAAGCCATGGCTACCAAGAGGCGGAAGTGGTCCAGTCAAAGCAAAAGCAGACTGGTCATGACAACAGTTTTTTGGGGATGCTCAAGGCATTTTGCTTGTTGACTTTCTGGAGGGCTAAAGAATGATGACATCTGCTTATTATGAAAGTGTTTTGAGAAAGTTAGCCAAAGCTTTAGCAGAAAAATGCTCAGGAAAGCTTCACCAGAGAGTCCTCCATCACAACAATGCCTCTGCTCACTCCTTTCATCAAACAAGGGCAATTTTGTGACAGTTTCAATGAGAAATCACTAGGCATCCACCTTATAGTCCTGATTTGGCTCCTTCTGACTTGTTTTTGTTTCATACTCATAAAAAATCTTTACAGAGCACCCATTTTGCTTCAGTTAATAATGTGAAAAAGACTGCACTGACATGGTTAAGTTCCCAGGATCCTCATTTCTTTAGGGACGAAGTAAATGGCTGGTGTGAGATTATGATATTTATATACTGGTTTTTGTCCCTGGTTCCTGGTTCATGCTACTCTCTGACCTTCTGCCCTCCCTTCACCTGCATGTTTTTCTCTCTGAGGTAGGAAATCCTCTGACCTACCTTGGCTGATTGGAAGTCACAAGACCCCCATTTCAGGAGGGGTCCTGCCCCATGCCTGGGAGGAAGGAATGCTGCACAGAGAGGCCAAGAAGAATCTGAACAAACAAGTCTTGCTGAGTTTCCCCACCCAGGCTGTTGGTGTTAGATCAGACCCTTTTTGTCCATTCACATTTCTACACAGTTGTCCATGCTTTGGTCATGCCCATGTAATGAAGCTTCCATAAAAACCCAAGAGCACAGGGTTTAGGGAGCTGACAGAGAGCTGAACACATGGAGGTTCCTGGAGGGTGGGGTGCCTGGGGTGGGCATGGAAGCTGTGCACCCCTCCCCCATACCTCACCTTGTGTGTCTCTCCATCTGTGTCCTTTGTAATATCCTTTATGATAAACCAGTAAATGTAAGTATGCTTCTCTGAGTTCTGTGTGCTATTCAAGCCAACTAGTTGAATCCAAGGAGGGGGTTTTTGGAACTCTGATTTATAGCTGGTTGGTCAGAAGTTCCAGGGGCATGGGCTTGCAACTGGCATCTGAAGTGGGGAGTAGTCTTGGGGACTAAGCCCTCAACCTGTGGGATCTCATGCTAGAAAAGTGTCGGAATTGAATTGAATTAGAGAACACCCACTGGTGTCCGCTGCAGAACTGCTTGCTTGTTTGCTTGCTTGCTGTTGGGGAGAAATCCCCACACATTTGGTCACAGAAGGTGGTCTTCTGTGTTGCTGATCATTGCTGATTAAGAGTATAGGAAAACACACACTCTGTTTGTGTGTGTGTTTTCTTTTCTTTCAGCTGGTATCATAGCCTAAAATAGTGTCTTGAACTTAATAGAGCTTAGGCTGAGAAAGTTTATATATATATATATAAATATATATATATATATAAAACTTTATATATATATATAAATATATATATATATATAAAACTTTATATATATATATATATAAAACTTTTTTTTTTTTTTTTAAAGATGACCGGTAAGGGGATCTTAACCCTTGACTTGGTGTTATCAGCACCACACTCTCCTGAGTGAGCCACGGGCCGGCCCCTATATTTTTTATTTTTATCTTTTAATTCCATTATCCATGAAATTTTTGAAGTCCCCTCATATTTTTACTCCCCCTCTAGCTAGCCTACGTCTCCTCCACTCTCATTCCCTGTATACCTGATCACGCCCATCTTCCATCTCCTTTCCACTCCCACATCACCTTAGGACTCATCCCTCACCACCTCCTCTCCAGTCCCCTGCCTTCAGCATGGGCCACTCCAATTCTCCCCTTAGGGTGCTGACAGCTTACTCTTCCTAAAGCTTAACTTTAATTATGTCTCTCCCAGTACACATCATCCCCATCTCCATAGTTTAGCACATCATCAGCTGGGCATTATAAATGTTCCACAATCTAGCCACAACATCACATGCTAGTTAGTCTCTTCTACAAGTCCACCTAGTAGTATTTGGAAGAGGAACAACATAAACCTGATCCAATCACACACGAAAATCTAAATCAAGTCCTGAAAATGATATTGGCTTTGGAAAGTAGACATGTCAAATAAAAATACACCATTTCTTTGGAATTCAAGTTTACACACAATTATCTAATTATGTGCCCTCAGCATTCTCCAAATGCAGAGAGGGAAAAAAAAGAGAAATTGAGGGTTTAAAGCAAGGGTTTCAGCTATGGTCGGACCCATTTAGGTCGAAAATCAACGGGTTAGCAACAGTCTTTTGAAATGGAGTGGAACAGAATGGAATAGAATGGAATTGGAATAGATCTAGAACAGATCTGGCGGCGTCACGTGAGCTTAGGCAAGTCTTGGTAGGCATCTCCCTTTAAACTTGTGCTTCGCTTATCTAGATCTACTGGCACGGGTTATACACATAAAATACATTACTCAGTGTAGGCTGAGTCAAAAAAGTGTGAAAACCGTATCAGGCGATCTTTAGAATCAGGAGTGGAAGGAAGGGTGTCACTAACAGCAAAAAGTGCAAGGTCACTGGGACCTGCAGAGCCGCAGAGACGGGACGGGACTGGGGCTGGGTCGGGGATGGGGCGCACACTGGGAGTGGCGGACACAGCCAAAGAAAGGGGGCGAACATGGGAGTGTCAGGGCTCATCCAGGGGTCGGGTGGGCTGGGGGAAGGAGAAGCGAGGTAAAGGAGGCGAATCGCGGGTGAACCACAAGGAGGTGACCTGAGCGCCCGGACGCAGGGCCGGGGACCCCCCTCCCCAGTACCAGAGCCCTTGGGACCCCGGGGACAGCAGGGTCGGGGACGCAGGACCCTCCCCACCTGCTGGGGCCCGTCCTCACCGACGGCCGCGGGGCCCTCCCTCTCCGGCGACAGAGCCGCGGCGGGTCCCTCAGCCTCGGCCGCTGCAGCCACAGGCGTCGACCTCGGGGCCCAGACCGCTCAGGCCACCAAGACCCTGGCGCCCGCTCCCCGCCCCCACCTGCCCCCTCCAGAGCGAGCCGCGTGCCCGCGCGCGCGACCCCGCAGCGGAGCCGGCCTCTTGAGGGCATGCGCAGCAGGGCCACGGGGGCCCATTCCTTTGACAAACTCCGCTTCTCCGGGTCTTCCCTGCGCGCCGCCGAGCTGACTGCCCGGCCAATCGGCGTACGGGGGCAGGACCATGACTAGCGAAAGAGGCGGGGCCAATCCAGGATTGGATGTCGTCGTTCAGGGGCGGAGCGTCAGCCGACTTCGGGCTGGGACTGGGGATCATGGGCGGGGCAGGACCTTTGGCAGAATTTGACTCTTGAGCTCGAGAAGCCGAAGCGTGGCTTTTGTTTTTCTTTTGTGTGGCTGCCCGGCGTGGGGATCCGAACCCCTGACCTTGGTGTTTTCAACACTACGCTGTCCCAACTGAGTTATCTGGCCAGCCAGTGGTTGTTTAAATGAATTCTTAGACCCGTCACGCTGCAGAACCATTGAAAGGAAATTTCTTTCTTTTTTTTTTTTTCCCAAGATGACAGGTAAGGGGATCTTAACCCTTGACTTGGTGTCATTAGCACCACACTCTCCCGAATGAGCCACGGGCTAGCCCCTATCCACTCATCTGTTGATGGACGTTTGGGTTATTTCCACTTTTGAGCTACTACGAATAATGCTGCTGTGAGCGTTTGTGTACAACTCTCACATGGTTTCACTCCTCTTGAGTATATACCGAGGAGTGGAATTGCCAGGTCATGTGCTAACTTCATGTTTAACCATTTGAGGAACTGCCAGACTGTTTTCCACAGTGTCTGTACCATCTTCACCCCCACCAGCAGTGTATGAGTCCCAATTTCTCTGCATCCTAACCAACACTTATTATCTGGTCTTTTAAAAATTATTACTAAATCCATGATAGTGGAGATAAAGTGGTAACTCATTGTGGTTTTGATTGCATTTCCCTGATGACTAATGATACTGAGTTTCTTTCCATGTGCTTATTGGTCATTTGTGAATATTCTTTGGAGAGATGTCTATTCAGATACTTTGCCCATTTTTTAATTGGGCTGTTATTTTATTATTGTGTGTAAGAGTTCTTTATATATTCTAAATATGTCCCTGATCAGATATATGATTTGCAAAAACTTTCTCCCTCATTTTGTGTGTCATCTTTTTACTTTATTGCTCCCAGTTGAGATAGTTTCCTTTGAACCACAAAAGATCTTAATTTCGATCATGTTTGATTTATCTTTTCTCTTTTGTTGCTTGTGCTTTTGGTGTCACATCTAAGAAACCATTGCCTAAGAAGTCACTGCCTAATCCAAGTTCACAAAGATTTACCCCTATGTTTTCTTTTTTCTTTTTTTTCTTATAACCGAACCCGCGGCCTTGGTGTTATCAGCACCGCACTCTACCGAGTGAGCCACGGGCCGGCCCAACCCCTATGTTTTCTTTTTTCTTTTTTTTCTTATAACCGAACCCGCGGCCTTGGTGTTATCAGCACCGCACTCTACCGAGTGAGCCACGGGCCGGCCCAACCCCTATGTTTTCATCTAAGCTTTTTTTTGGCAGCTGGCCAGACAGGGATCCAAACCCTTGACCATGGTGTTATAACACCATGCTCTAACCAACTGACCTAACCGACCAGCACAGCTTCTAAGAGTTTTATACTTTTGTTCCTACATTTGAGTCTTTGAGTTATTTTTGTGTGTATGGTGTAAAGTAGGTCTCCAACTTCATTCTTTTGCATGTGGATATTCTAGTTCTCCTACTACTATTTTGTGAAAAGACTGTTCTTTTCCTCATTTAATTGTCTTGGCACCCTTGTTGAAAATCAATTGACCATAAATGTGAGGACTCCTTTCTGGGCTGTCAGTTCTCTTCCATTAATGTACGTATCTATCGTTATACCACTACCGTACTGTCTTAATTACTGTTACTTTGTAGTAAGCTCTGAAATCAGGGAATCCTCCAACTTGGTTCTTTTTTCAAGATTGTTTTCCTTATTCTGCGTCCCTTGAATTTCTAGTTGTCATCTATCTTGTCAATTTTTTTCAAGATGAATCTCTATCTTTAATTTCATATCACTGAGATCATAGCAATTAATTTTCATGTGTCCCTACTTTTTTCACCTAACTCTATATTGCAACCCCCACCCCATATTATAATTAAGTATATTACATATGACTAATGATTACATTATATTACATATGATTGGCTGCATAGTTTCGTTATTTTTCCTATTAGACACTTCCTTTCTGAATTTCGCTATTATAAATATTGCTGCTGTGGCTGGCTTCATTCCTAATATCTGGAGAATCTGAGTGAAGGGTATATGAGAACGCTTTGCATGATCTTTGCACCTTTTCTGTAGGTGTCAAATTATGTCAAAAGAAAATTTAAAAAAATAAAAAAACGAGGAAAAAAAAGAAAGAAAATAGAAGTCAAACAAAAACTCCACTTAAACCATTAGCATTCCTGGAGGGGAAAGCTCTTTTTGCCATTGGTCCCTCCCTCTGCGTTGGTTCAGCCCACAGCACAGCCACCGGACACTTATCCTCCCGCAACCCCGTGCGCCGGGGACCGGGATGGCTCCGGGCGCGGGCAGCTGCGGGGCCATGGGCGCTACTCTCCTGGGACACATTGGTGGCGGCCAGAGCGGCCCCAGCGTTGCCCGAGCTGACGCCCGCCTTTCGTCCCCCGACCCCCTGGCGCGAAGCCCCGCTCCACGCCCGGACGCCCAGCCACCCCGCGAGTCACCGTGCCCTCCCCGCCCACGCTCCCCGCGACTAGCCCACCCGCGGGGACGCCTCTCTCCACCCGCTGCCCTGGCCCAGCGGAGCCCCGGCTCCCAGCTGCGCGTCCTCTGTGTGCGCAGATCGAGGACGCTGCTGCTTCTAGAAAACTCCGAGCCCCGTCCGCCTCCCCCCCTCGCCCTAAAGCTGCCGCTGGACATGCCCCTGGGCTCCGGGCGGGCCCGGTCAAGGTCCCGGGGGCCCGCTGCCGCCTGGGGCCTCCCGCATCTTCCTATGTCCTGAGTCCGCCCTCGTCCTCTGCGTTCTCTGTTGGATTTCTTCCTTCCCTGCGTCCTCCTCTCAAATCCGCACACTGGCCGGACCTCCGCTCTCTCTGCGCGCTCGGTGTCCCCGCGTCCCGTACCCCTCGGCGCTCCTGTACCCCCACCTGCTCCCTCTCTCCCTGTTCTTCACACGGAGAACCTCAGGACCAAACTCGACAAGGACCCCTTCCCTGATGGTGTGGGGCTGACGCTGTGGGCGGGGAGCCCAAGCAGCAGCAGACGCAGTGAACTACGCGTTACGCGACGTGTTAGAAGGTGGAACGTGCTCCGGGAAACAGCAGAAGCAAGAGGGCCTCACCACGTGGCGGCGAGGGTAGCGGCGGGCGGCGAAGAGGCCTGACCTCATCTCCTTCCGCCAGTCGCTGGCCACCTGCAGGGTCGATACCGAGGAACCCTCCGCGGCCCAATCGCGCACCGCCCACTCTGTGGAGCCTGTGCCGGCCTCAGGCCAGTCCGCAGCGCGGGACAGAGCGCGGGGCCAGAAGGGCAGACACTCCTGGCGGCCCTCCTGGCCTCGGTGCTGGGGAACTTAAGAAGGATGAACCAGGGTATGTGGCAGAAAAAGTTTTAAGTAGCAAAGAATTCAGGCAGCTGCGCGGCCGCTTCTACAAGTTTACACTGAATTATAGCAGCAAAGCATGACATAAAGGTGGAATTTATCATTAAAAGGGTTAACAATTGGCACATCTATGTAGGTGTGATAGGCAATCTGTGCCTCAAGCAGGGCTGACATCAGAATAAAGCGATGAATGTGTGTGAGGCTCCATCTGCACATCAGCATATTTCTCATTCCTATCATACTCCATTTCAATACTGGGATGAAAATAGCTTGAAAAAAGACATCTAAAAAATATAACTTGGTGTTGAAGCTAAGCCAGGTGTGATGGGTAAGTTGGCAGATGAGGCAGGCTTGGCCATCTTTTTTTTTTTTTTTTCATTATTTTATTCTTTTGCCAGCTGGCTGGTACAAAGATCTTGACGGTGGGGTTACAAGGCTGTGCTCTAACTGTTGTAGTCCTTACTCTAAAGATAAAATGGGACTGTTGAAAATGTGATTATACAGAAGTTTTTAATTACATTCCGCTTTATGTATGATCACAGAGATAGTTCTTTTACATACTTAGAGAAAGATACAGTTTAAGAGTATTATCTCATTTTCTAAAAAACAGCATGAAAGAGCATTCATAGAAAACCGTCTGGTACATTCTCATTTTTTACTGGGTGGGAGTGTAATTGGGGGAACATGGGGTGAGCTTGCAGGAATTTATTTTTACTTTTTTTTTTTTTTAATAAAAGATAACCGGTAAGGGGATCTTAACCCTTGACTTGGTGTTATCAGCACTACACTCTCCTGAGCCACGGGCCAGCCCTTATTTTTACTTTAGATCTGATCTTATAAATTCCCACCAGAGCATCTGACTCAAAGCAACAGAAAAGCAAGCCAAGGCCAGCCCATCCTGGGCTCCTGCCCCCTGCACAGGCAAACTGCAACTGGAACCACTGGATCTGTTCCTCAGCCCACAGCCCCTCTCCAACTTCGCCTTGTCCCTGTCACTCGGGGCTCAGTCCTGGGACACACACACTGCACCAGCATTTTTGAGACAATGAGTTCCCAAGTCTGGATGGGAGTCACGGGTCGTCTGGTCAACCCTCCCCTAGAGCAGAGGACTTAAGTCATTCACCAGGGGGATCAACCTGGCCTCAAACCCCGCCAGACCATAATAGGATTTCCTGTCCTCTTAACACTGTTATATTTAAGTTTCCAATACATGAACTTTTGGGGGACACATGTGACCCATAGCAGTTATAAACAGCAACCCTGTAAAAATAATATCACAAAATGGAGACCTGAGGGAGGAAAATGTGCCACGTGATGATTAATTTTTCCTAAGAGGGAGGCGACAGATGCTGATTAAATTTGAAAAAAATGTTTGAAAACAGTCTCTAAACCCTACATTAAAAAAATAGTGTTTCCTTGTGCCCAGAGGCGGTTCTCAAAGAATGAGGACCCAGCGGGGAAGCAGCTAGAGGCTGTAGCCTTGCCCTTGGGGGCCTCTGGAAGCCCCCCGGGACTTGGGAGTTCAGGGAGAGTGCTGTGTGTTCCCTTCACCTCCTCCTCCAGCAGGGGCAGTGCCAGCGGGCTTAGGGAAGGGCTCAGGTTCCCAGGAATCTCCCTCAGCCCCCAAACCCTCTGGAAAGAACATGGTGGGCTGCCATGCACTCGTCAGGAGCCTCCCTGTACCCACCAACGAACTGCAAGCCCAGCCCTTCCTGAGCACAATCCTGAGGCCCCCACCATTCTCAGCAGGGCGCCTGCCCGGATTTTGGAGGATGGGCTTGGTGCCTGGGAGCCATCAGTCTGGGAAGCTTCCTGAAGGAGGTGAGACTTGGCCAGGGAAGGCAGTGACCGAAGGGCATCCTGGGAGGGCCCCACAAGAGGGGGCCTGAGGCCTCCTGGGAACAGGCCCCTGGAGGGAAGGGTCAGGTAGCTTCAGGAATCTGGCTTTGCAGGGGCCCAGGGGGAGGTCCTATTGTCCCCTTTCAGGCCAAGGACAGTGGGAAGGTGAAACCTCCGGGATCCTGCCTAGTGTCCAGGCAGCTCTGGGGAAGGTCCAGGTGAGGCCTGGTGGGGTGGGGGGCCCCAGGCTGGTGGGGTGGAGCTGGGCCTCAAAGGACCAGAATGCCAGAATGTCTAAAACCTGTCCATGATGGTGTCTAGTGTAAGGACGCTTTTGATTTTTTTCCTGCTTGCAAAAGTATTTATGCTTGATCTAAAAAAAGTACACAATGTTGAAAGTGTAAATCCATGGACGACTAGGCCCCAGAAGTGTGGGAAGGAGTAGAACCTGCTCACAGTTCGCAGACCCACCAGGACACCACACCGTGCGGCGATCAAGGTTAAGGGGACATGCTGGGCACACAGGGGCAGGTGGCAGCACACTCCTCCCTGCCCACTCCGGGAGGCCCCTCAGCTAATCCACTGGCTTCTTTTCCGTCTGCTTCTGCATCTGGAAGAGAACGGGGGTAGGTCAGGCTGGTATCAAAGGAAAACGGAGGGGCTGGTAGAGCTGACCCTGGGTGTCTGGGGTCTACCAGGTGCCTGGACCCCCCACCTGGTGCCCTGGCTCTCTCTCATCCCAGCCAAGGATATTCCAGGGCCAGATGCCTCTCCTGACTGACTTAGAAATAATTGCTGCTGCAGGGACACTGCTCCCAAATCCACTAGCCCAGGGACACCAAGGCTGCTAAAGTCATTTCCAGGAAACTTTGGGCCAAATCTCAGCTGAGCACTAGGAAGTAGACTGCATGGCCTGGGGTGGACCAGAGATGGGGATACCTGTGGACTGACCTATAGAGGGGGTGGCAAGTTGAGGGGGCTGTGGACTGCCCGAGAGCACCTGCCATTTCATCTGAAGAAGGGTGGCTTTGTTGCAGTTCTCACAAAGGCACCATAGCCCCAGTCTGGACAGCTCTAAGCAGTGAGCAGGGGTCTCAGATGCACTGGAAGAGACCCTCAAGATGGCCCTGCCCCACCAAGCGTGGTGAGAAGAACAGGCTCTGAGCCAGAACCCAACCCCTCTGCCCTCTGCAGTGACCAACTGGTGGCCTCAGGGCAGCGAGGTAGCCCCTCTGAGCCCTGCATCTCCTCTCCTCTCCTCAGGTCCTGGGGTCTGCAGGGGCACTCAGAGTAGGACTGACCAGTGGAGGCACTAATAGTGAGAGCCGGGCATACCACAGAGGGGACTCAAAACTCTGGGTGCTGAAGTCCCTCTGACTCCCCAAGCACTACTCCCACTAGGCCAGGGACCCCCAGGAAGGGGATGGAGGTTGAGGGATCCTTTGGGTCCTCTGAGAGCTCCAGGCCTGTGGCCAGGGACACCCTCATCTGTGGTGTGCTGGGGTCTCAGCCTAGGGGAAGCAATGGGGCTAAGACCCCATGACCCCAGGCTACTCACCCCTAAGTTCCTATCAATGAGATGGGATCCCTGGCACCATCCAGCTAACTGATCGAAACCCAAGAGCCCCTCCTCTCCTTGCAACTAGCTGCCAGGCCCAGTAAGCTGACTTACCCAGAGGGGTCACCTGTTCCACCTGCAAATTGAGGCCAGCCACTCTGGCTTTTACTGTCCCCATCTTTTCAGGGTATGGCAGGTCCCACTTCCAGTTCGGAAAAACCCACAGTTTATCTGCTTCTCACCCACTGGGCACTGCCCCCTGGCATTCCCCAGAATTTGCCACCCAAAAGGCATATAGAGGTTCCAACATCACCTGTGCTAAGCCTGTTTGGGACTGGGGGTCTGCTCGGGGCCTCACGTAGATTCTGACAGAGAAATATATACACGAAGACCCCTCCCTACTTGACATGTAAACACATAAACACATATGAACAGACAGGGACAGAAGTAAGCCCATGGACACAGACCCACACAAACATACCCAGAGGACACACAGATAAACCCACCTCCTAGACAAATACATACATAGAGCCACAGACACACAGAGATCAACACAGATGTTCATGCATACAGAGACCGCCTTGGAGTGACGGGACTGGGAGGGGCCGGGTCAGCGTTTCAGATCCGTCTGCTCAGAGGGATGCCCAGGCCTGTGTCCACAACCCGTGCCTCCCACTCCCCTCACATGGTTGCAGGAAGTAGGGGAAAGAGGACCAGGAGGACAGAGGGAGAAGCAGGACTGGCTGTCTGGGGCAGCTCTGAAAGGTACCCGGTTGTCCTGGGGAGGGGCCAGCGCCAGCCCCAGGAGCCTCGCCTGGGTCCAGCCTGCTGCGTTTCTGCTCAGGCTCTTGGGGGGCCGCCTCGATTGCCCGCTGAGCCTCAGGATGGGTCTTGAGGAGGGCCTTGGCAAGAGTGGCGGGGCCGGGCACCCCCAGGGACATGATGCAGTGCACTCCTTTGCGCTTGGCCCCAGCCACTTTGGCACTGTCTTTGGAGGCTGTCAGCAGGACCAGTTTGGAGAACTTCCTGGGCTTCCTGGGGGCTGCTGGGATGACATCTGTGCCCGGCTCAGGGGACGGCTCCTGGCCAGCCTTCATGCTCTTGCCCTCCTGCTCACTGGGCTCAGGAAGGGGCATTCCAGGAGTGATGTCTGTGGTGCTGATAACACCAGGCCACGCTCAGCCCTGGCAGATGGATTTTTTCTCCTGCTCCTCCCTGGCAAGGAACCTGGGAGTCCAGGGGCTCTGTCCTAAGGGAGGAGACAAAATCCATCAGTAGAGGAAGCCCTGGGGTCTAGGGCTCAGAAAATGGATCTGGGATGGAGGTGGGGGCAGATGGGGCTGCCTCGGTGCCCCTGGGCTTAAAGGCTGGGAAGGACCTCATGGAGCTAGGGACCCTGGGCTGGGGCTTCTCCTGGCAGCCTTGGGCACACCACATCCCCATCCAAACCTCTTTCCCTACCTTAACATGTGCACAATAAACGCTTCTCATAGGGGCTGTTGGGGAGACTAATGGACCAATAATGGAGCTGCTACCCATCGAACCTCGCACATGCTGAGCTTTACCCATGCCTTTCCCTTTAACCTTCCAGCGCCCTGTTATGAAAGTTGACCATTCTATTGACCCAGTTTACAGGTGAGGACAGCAAGGCATGCTGTGGTGACTAATAGTCATGGAATGGCAGAGCTGGGAGTGGATCCAGAGCCTATCCCTATAAAACTGGTACACCTTGTCCACCTAGAAACTGGTGCCCCTGAGTGCCAAGCACTTTGGGGACGTGAGCTTAATCAATTGACCCTCCCAGAATACCCACTACCCTTTACCCCATTGTCACAGGGAGTGTGGGCCAGGCATCTGCCAGCACTTTGAAGACCACAGCACTGAAGCTGGCACCAGGAGGTTGGACATACTGGACTCACAACTAGGTCCAGCCCTATCCCAGCCTGGAGGCCTGCAGGCTACCCCACTGGCCAGTTCTCAAACCGACTTTGTGCTGGCACTTCCCCAGTTGGGAAGGGACAGAGATGTGGGGGTGTCAGACAATCCTGCAGTCACCAAGGGTTCCTGACTTCTGGCCTAGATAAACAGAAAGGATGGATTACGGGGCATGAGCTGCAAGGCCACAGCTGGCCTGGAGACTGGGGCCTGGGGCCTTGGGCCTGGGGCACTGCAGCACCAGTGTGGGGTAGTCTTTTTGCCTTTAGGGGAGTGATTGGGTGGTGGGGGTCTTTCCCAGTCTACAGTATGAGTCCAGAAATAACAGTGTGGGCAGAGATCAGCCCACTGTCAGGACCCAGCCAGGAGCAAGGCCCATAGATGCCTAATTTTCCCCTCGGGCCTGTTTCCCCAAGCCAGCTTTGAAGTTCTCTCTTTCCTTTGACCCCCCACTTGAGGGGGTCCAGGCCCAGCATCCCAGAGTTTTCCAAGACCCCATGGTCCACGAAAGGAGCCCGGCATGCAAGGCTGATGGGGGCTTGAGGTGTCTTGTCCCCTGAGAGTCCCCCTCTGCAGTCCCCGACCACTAAAGAAAAGCAGAGACGTTCTCAGACGTGATGCCCCCACTCCAGAGCCACTTTCTCGAGGGGGTGGGCACTCAAAGAAACGCAGCCTGCTAACGAGTCACCTGACAGTAGGGCACGGTAGGGATTGGTGGCGCGTTATCTGTCCTGCCCTGGGACAAGTCAACCCCTGCTCTTCCCGTGCGGTCCTTCTTGTTCCTGCCCATCCCACCCCATAGGGCAACGTAGCAGTGCCGGGGACCTACAGACCTGTTGACCTCCCATGGCTAAGATGCCGCGGGTGCCTCCCGGGTGGGAAAGTGTTACGACGGGAAGCCCCACCTACAGGACACCCCGCCCTTGTGCGCTGATTGGTCCCTCCGCCGGCAGCCCGCCCCTCCGGTTCCCTCGTCCCATTGTCTGGGATAAATGAAACTGTCTGGGGAAGAGTGCGCGTGGCTGGTCCCCCAACCCCGCGTCCTCCCCGGGACCCCAAGCGTCTCCCGCCGTCTCGGCTTCACCACCGTAGCGCTCCCGGACTCCAAAAATGAAGCGGCTTCCTGCCCACACAGCATGCAAATTCGAAACTAGCAGGGACCTGACAACCAGCCAGTCCCGCCCAGCCACCTCCAGGCCGGGGGACGGACAACCCCCACACTCGGGCTGGATCGGAGAGTGAGCGCCTCCTTCAGTTTTCCGCCCTGTCTCTCCCTAGTCCCGGCCCTGCTGCCAGGCCAACTCTGAGCTGTGAAAATGGTCTCAGAATGATAGCATGCCCCATCACAAATTAAGTGTTCAAACCCCAAAGTAAAGGATAAAACGGACCCAAGCTATTGACTAATTGTCCAAAGAGAAAAGTCAAGAAAATAAAAGATAACCTCATTAAACTCGAACAAGAAACAAGGCTGGCTAGTTAGCTCAGCTGGTTAGAGTAACGTGCTGCTAACATCAAGGTCACGGGTTCGGATCCCTGTGCCTGCCACCAAAAAAGAAAAAAAAAAAAGAAAGAAAGAAACAAGTCCCGCAATACATACACTGGGCTCCAAAAATCCGAGGACCGGCCCATGGCTCACTTGGGAGAGTGTGGTGCTGATAACACCAAGGCCACAGGTTCGGATCCCTATATAGGGATGGCCGGTTAGCTCACTTGGGAGAGCGTGATGCTGACAACACCAAGTCAAGGGTTAAGATCCGTGCCGGCCCGTGGCTCACTCGGAACAGTGCGGTGCTGATAACACCAAGGCCCCAGGTTCGGATCCCATATAAGGATGGCCGGTTCGCTCACTGGCTGAGCGTGGTGCTGACAACACCAAGTCAAGGGTTAAGATCCGTGCCGGCCCGTGGCTCACTCAGAACAGTGCGGTGCTGATAACACCAAGGCCCCAGGTTCGGATCCCATATAAGGATGGCCGGTTCGCTCACTGGCTGAGCGTGGTGCTGACAACACCAAGTCAAGGGTTAAGATCCCCTTACTGGTCATCTTTAAAAAAAAAAAAAATAGTGATAATTTCTTAGTTTTGACAAATATAAACCGAGGAGAGGCTGGGTGGAGAATCTATGGTGAGCCTGTACTGTCTTTGTGACTTTTCTGTAAAGCTGAAATCATTCCAAAATAAAATGTTTGGGTTTTTTTTTAAGAAAAGGTAAGTAGTCAACTGCATTAATCTGACTCAACGCATCAACTGTGTCATCACAGAAAAACCAGCTTAAGCAACTTTCATCAGTAGTTCTTTTTAAATTTTTTTCCTTGTCTTTTCAAGTGCTTTTTCTTTATCTTTCTTTCTTTTTTTTTAAAGTGCTTTTTCTTTAAAAGATTAAGACAGATTGAAGAATGCATCTTACACACATACACACACACGTCAATTTGGGCACAATGACCTGGATGAAGGTCACTTGGTGGGAACAATTTCATGCGTCATTGTCATGTGTTCTGGAAGAACACAAGTGATACTTTTCTGAAGACCAAATTTAAGGTAATCATAATGTTTAAGACCTAAGCTTTCAAAGTGACAAATATTTCTACAAGTATTCCCTTGCACACCACTTAGGTAATGTAAAAACAGAGTGGCTAAAATGACTTTTTAACTGGCCAGTGCTGGGCTGGCCAGTTAACTCAGTTGGTCAGAGCATGGTGCTGATAACACCAAGGTCTAGGGTTCAAACCTGTACCGACCAATTACTAAAAAACAAACAAAAAGACCACATATTATATGATTCCATTTATATGAAATGACCTATAGAGTAGGAAAATCTATAGAGACAGAAAGTAGATTTGCAAAAGTCTTGGGATGGGGGTAGGGAAGGGGAGAATGAGGGGGGTAGGGAAGTGACTGCTAGTGGGTATGGGGTTTCTGGGGTAATAAAAATGTTCTAAAATTGACTGTGGTGATGGTCACACAACTTCATGACTACACTAAAAGCCACTGAATTGTATACTTTCAGTGGGTGAGTTGCATGGTATATCAATGATCTCAATAAAGCTGTTAAATATTCAGAAAAAGGCAAATGAACTCTATAACCAGTGGTTCTCTAACTTCAGTAGACCTAAGACTCACCCAGGGTTCTTGCTAAAAATGCACAAAAAATATGGACTACTCCACTGCAGACTTCTGACTTAGAGGGTCTGGAGAGGGACCAAAGAGTCTACATTTTTAACCAGTACCCCACATGATTCTGATACTTTGAGAAACACTGATGTTGCTATGTGCCCTCTATATGAGGAGTCTGCAATTTCTATTTCATAGGTTGAACTCTTCTTCAGCCACTCCACGAACATGTCCTAGGTAGCTTCAGGCTGGATCAGTCTCTTTTCTGGATTCATCCCTAAACTCCTACCAAGTTGGGAAGCAGCTGTTTTAAGATATACAGTCAGTCCCTAATGTACATATTTTGAAAATTAAATTTTCACTCATTAAAGTTTCATTGAATAGACTTACAAAAAGTGAAGCAGAAATGAATTAAAAAGATCAAAGTCTAGGGCCGGCCCATGGCTCACTCAGGAGAGTGTGGTGCTGATAACGCCAAGGCCATGGGTTCGGATCCCTATATAGGGATGGCTGGTTAGCTCACTTGGGAGAGCATGTGCTGACAACACCAAGTCAAGGGTTAAGATCCCCTTACTGGTCATCTTTAAAAAAAAAAAAGATCAGTCTTAACAGTCACCTTACTTCACTCACTTTACACCCTCCCCCCAACTCTGCAAGCTGGTCATCTGATATTGCTATGGGTCTCCAGCCACCCACTTATCCTAACCAGGTGTCACAACAAAGGAGACCCAGAAGGGGAAAGATGGCTCAATGTAAACCCAAGACCCAAGATAACACAGTGTCAGGAACTACAGTGTCTCTCACCCATCATCAGGTCTGTGGGAGGCAGAATCATAGCACCCCAAAGATGCCCAAGTCCTAATCCTTGCAACTTGTGAATATGTTACCTATTTGGCAAAGGGGAATTAAGGTTGCAAATATAATAAAGTTGTTCACCAGGAGATTATCCTGGTGGATCCAATGTAATCACTGGGGTCCTTAAAAGTGGAAGAGGGAGACAGAAGAGAGTGAGAGAGAGATGGAATGATGGAACCAGGGTCCAAGAGATGAAATGTTGTTGGCTTTGAAGATGGAGGAAGGGGCCATAAGCCAAGAAATGTGGGTGGCCTCTAGAAGATGGAAAAGGTAAGAAAACAGATTCTCTCCTAGAGCTTCCAGGAACCAGTCCTGTCCACAGATACATGCTGCCCATACCTAGATTTTAACCCAGTGAGACCCATGTCAGACTTCTGGCCTCTGGAACTGTAAAATAACAAAAGCTGTGTTGTTTTAAGTCACTAAGTTTGTGGTAATTTATTAAGGCAGAAATAGAAAACTAATACAAGGTCCAATCCCTTATGTATGAGTTTCTGGAAGCCAGGAACCTTGCCCGGTGCCTTACTGTGGACCAACAACAGAATTACCTTCATACATGTGGCCATCAACATCCACCAACAGCTGTGTCCTCAGCCACAAGGACAAATCCCTCACACTCTCCAGGCTAGTTTCATCTGTATGATGGTGAATTTAGCAGAGATTGTTAACAGCAGATAGGCAAAGGTCTTTGTTTGCAAGTTTCTGGGTGATACTGACAGCTGCTCCCCAGTAATCACTGTCCCATGCGGTCCATGGAGGGCTGTGATAGCACCGTTGACCGGATGATGGGACACTTGGGTGTACGGTACATATCCTTACAGGAATATTTTTAAAAACAGCAGTGACCCAAAAAAAGGTCAATAACTGCTACTCTATAGTATGCAGGGCAGAGCTTCCCCAAAATGAAAATTTCAGTAACGGCAGGACCGGCCCGTGGCTCACTAGGGAGAGTGTGGTGGTGATAACGCCAAGACCCCGGGTTCGGATCCTGTACAGGGATGGCCGGTTAGTTCACACTGGTTGAGCGTGGTGCTGACACTACCAAGCCAACGGTTAAGATCCCCTTACCGGTCATGTTTTAAAAAGAAAAAAAAAAAAAAAAAAAAAAAAAATTTCAGTAATGGCAACTCCTTCCCTAATCACCACGACTCAGAATATTTCACCCTTCCTTTACCCAATGTAACTGCCTTCAAACGCTGTCTGTGCTGCGTCCAAATGGCCCAGCTCCCCGCTCCTCTCCTATCAGGACCGCACCCCTGACTAAGCCTCAGAGTGTCTTCTCCGGCCCAATATCTCACGCCTCCAACTGGCTGCCTTCCCCGCAGCGACTTCCAGAGCTGCAAAGAAGGCACAGACTGGGGGTGGGTGCAGGATGGGGGCAGGGAAAGGGGGCGAATGTGGGTCTCCCTCATTTGGGAGTGTCAGGGATCATCTAGGAGCCGGGTGGGGTGAGGAAAGGAGGAGCGAGGAGAAAGGAGAAGAATCGCGGATGACCCCAAGGAGGAGGTCTGAGCGCAGGGACGCAGAGCCGGGGACCCGGGCCCCAGCACCAGCAGCCCTTGGGGCCCCCGTGAGAGCAGGGCCGGGGCCGCGACCCTCCCCACCCGCTGGGGCCCGTCCTCACCGACGGCAGCGGGGCCCTCCCTCTCCGGCGACAGAGCTGCAGCGGGTCCCTCAGCCTCGGTGCCGGGGACCCAGCCTGTGCTCGGGCCGTCACCTCAGGCTGGGGTCACGTCGCGAGCATGCGCAGCAAGGCCAAGGGCCCATTCCTTGGGCGAACAACTCTTCTCCGGGTTTTCCCTAGCGGTGTCGAGCCGCCGCCTTCCCAATCGGCGCGTGGGGGCGTGGCCAAGAGTGTGAGGAGGCGGGACCATCTCCGGATTGGGGGTTGTCACCCGAGGGCAGAGCGTCGGCGGGATCCGCGCCCATTCGGGTCCTGGGCGGGGCTCTCACAGTACAAGGGGCTGAGTTTAGCTGACACACCCAGACTTTCCCCCGGATTTGACTCCGGCTCCTTGCGGAAGAAGCTGTAGCATTTGTTTAAAGGCCTTATTTTCTCCCATCGCTTTACTGAGCCAGCGGAGAAAAGGTCTCTTCACTCATTGAAGTCACTGGTTTCTAGTCAGCCCAGCTTCCCTCGCCATTGGCTGGTACAGCTCTCGCTCATTGGTCCAGACCTTGCCAATGGTTAGTCCATCCGTCACCTATTGACCCAACCATCGCCCATTGGTCCAGCCCGCCATAAGTTCAGCCCCCGCCATTGGTCTTCCTCTGGCCATTGGTTTAGCCGTCGTTATTGGTCCAGCCCTCGCCCATTGGTCCTGCCCTCGCCATTGGTCCAGCCCTCGCCCATTGATCCTGCCCTGGCTCAGCGGAACCCTGGCTTCCGGCTGTGTGTCCTCGCCGTGCGCAGAGCGGCGATGTTGCTGCTTCTAGAAAGCTCCATGCTCCCTGGCTCCATGCCATCCCCTGCCTCCCCCCTCTCGCCTTAAAGCTGTCGCTGAACGTGCCACTGGGCTCGGAGCGGGCCCGGTCAAGGTCTCAATGCCTGCTACTGCTGGGGGCCTCCCGCAGTAGCATCACGTGCGGGTGTCAGGAGGGCCCGCTCCCGTCCAGAAAGGCTCCTCCTCGCTCTGGAGACCCCTCGGCCCCACCCTGGGCCCGACCTCCGTTGGCTCCCTCTGCCCGCCTCCGTTCGTTTCTTCCGGGTTACGTCATTTCCTGTGCATTCTCCAGTGTACCGCTGTCAATCATTCACAGACTCTGGATGTTTCTTTTATTACGTTCTAAATATTTTTGTTTATAAGCCTCTCTGATGTCAACGATTTCTTGGAATTCCTCAAAGGAGGCAAATATTTTAAAAGTCTTTTTAAACACGTTGCCAAATTATTTCTAAGGATGTGCACAAGTGTGGGGTCGTGGTGCTGACACCACGAAGTCAAGGGTTAAGATCCCCTTACCAGTCATCTTTAAAAAAATAAAATAAAGGGGCCGGCCCGTGGCTCACTCGGTAGAGTGCGGTGCTAATAACACCAAGGCCCCAGGTTCGGATCCCACATAGGGATGGCCGGTTCGCTCACTGGCTGAGCGTGGTGCTGACAACACCAAGTCAAGGGTTAAGATCCCCTTACCGGTCATCTTTAAAAATAAATAAATAAATAAAATAAAAATAAAATAAAATAAAATAAAATCCCTTTAAATTCATAATTATTGGGGCCGGCCAGTGGCTCACTTGGGAGAGTGCAGTGCTGATAACACCAAGGCCATGGGTTCGGATCCTATATAGGGATGGCCAGTTCACTCACTGGCTGATTGTGGTGCTGACAACACCAAGCCAAGGGTTAAGATCCCCTTACCGGTCATCTTTTACAATAAATAAATAAATAAATTCTTAATTATTGAACCTTTTGTTATGTGGGTTACATCTACCAATATTTACCATATAGAAATTTATTTATTTATTTTTGTGGCTGGCCTGTAGGGAGATCCAAACCCCTGACCTTGGTACTAGACAGTGTTCTAGCCAACTGAGCTAACCAGCCAGCCCTAGAATTTAAACTGAGAAATTAAAAAATGTATTTATTAAAAACTCCCGCTGCGGGTTCGGATCCTATATAGGGATGACCGGTGCGTTCACAGCGCTCACTGGCTGAGCGCGGTGCGGCCGGTCTCAAAAAAAAAAAAAGGAAAAAAAAAAAAAAAAAAAAAACTCAGCTGGCTGATCAGCTTAGTTGTAACACCAAGATCAAGGGTTCAGATCCCCATACTGGCCAGCTGCCAAAAAAATAAAATAAGAAATATGAAAATGGCAATAATAAATTCACTGCATAACTATCATCAAACCAAAAAGATTCAGTGAGTGGCAGTATTTACACTTTAAAAGATCTCTTTAATGTCTGACTTAAGGGAATACAGCTGGATTCTCCTGTCTGCCTCTGCATTCGTTCTTGTGATATATTCTTTGGGTTGAGCTACATGAATAAAATCCAGGTCTGGCAGGTTATCTCAGTTGGTTAGGGTGTGGTACGGATAAAACCAATGTCCAGGGTTCAATCCCTGTAGGGGCCAGCTACCAAGAAACAAACAAAACAAAAAGAAAGTAAATCCAGCCTCACACAGATAAGTACTTGGAAAAGGGAGGTATATTTTAACAAGTGTAGTGGATTGAATTATGTCCCCCCAAAACTCACTGAATCTTGAATTGTGCCCCCCAAGTTTTATGTTTTAGAAACTTGACCAACTGTTCAAGTTGACTTGACTAACTGTTCAACTGTTAATGTTGAAAGGGTGGGAAATCTTCTTATGGTAATTGAAACCTTGGTGATTACTACAAGTAATTTAAGGTGGAGACTTAAAGACATGATTAGATTGTAGGACCATGCTCTAGTGAATGGATTAATAATGGTGGTCAGGGGCGTGGTTCTGAGGACTTTTTTGTTTTTTTTTTAAAGATGACCGGTAAGGGGATCTTAACCCTTGACTTGGTGTTGTCAGCACCACGCTCAGCCAGTGAGCGAACCAGCCATCCCTATATGGGATCCGAACCCGTGGCCTTGGTGTTATCAGCACCGCACTCTCCCGAGTGAGCCACGGGCCGGCCCCTGAGGACTTTAAAACATGAGAGTCTCACTCTCTTTCTGCTCTCTCTGCTCTGCCATTTTGTAATGTGATATCCTGCCGTCACTGTCGCCACCAGCAAGACTCTCACCAGATGTGTTTGTTCCCTGAACTTTGGACTTCCCCCGTCTCAGAAACTGTTAAGTAATAAGTTCCATTTTCTTTATAAATTACCCAGTTCCGTGTATTTTGTTACAGAATAATAAATAGCCTTTTCAGATAATTGTGGACATTCTTTGATACTACAACTCCACAAGTGGTAAAGATTAGTTGCAATGTGGAATCTGAAATGACATCAGTACACTTTTGTATTGTATAATTTTAAAATCCATTGGTCTATTTTGTACTTTGAAAGGATCTTTTACCCACAAGAGGTTTTGTAATCTGATGTGTGGATCTATATTGGGCATTGGCTAATACAGATGTTATGAATGTTGACATATTTTCCTACACAATGTAAAAAACATAACATTCATTAACATCGCCACCAATCTCATCACAGAAGTCTTGAAGGACTGGGAAGCTGTGAAACTAAGTGGCAAATACAAGTTTTCCTAAACTTTAATATTTGCTTGAAAGCTAGAATTTTATCACTGGCAGCAAATACTGTCAGTTGTTTTTCTTGAAGCAACAGACTCCCGTTTTTTATTCTTGAGAAAATGTGTGAAATACCCACATCTAAATAGCCATCGTTAGGGCTGGCCCGTGGCTCACTTGGGAAAGTGTGGTGCTGATAACACCAAGGCCACGGGTTCGGATCCCTATATAGGGATGGCTGGTTTGCTCACTTGGGAGAGCGTGGTGTGACAACACCAATTCAGGGGTTAAGATCCTCTTACAGGTCATCTTTAAAAAATAAAATAAAATAAATAGCCACGGTCTCTGTCAGTGTTCCATGAAAAAAGTAGCTAGTTAGTGTCATAATTTAAATAATGCACACACCCTTTCCCTAGAGACCATGGACATGACATTTATGTCAATGTCCTATTTCCCATTTTAACTAACAAAATATCAAAAAGACGTAAACTCAAGGGCCAAGATTTCATTTTGTATTACTTCATTAAGGATTTTCTTAAGTGAAGGTGGCTTTCGGCCACTAGCGTGTGAAGAATATCATGCAATTTGGTGTCACTGCCCTGATTCAAGCTAAGAGCTGCCATTGCTTTTGCGTCGTCCGCGCAAATGTCAGCATAGTGGGCAAGGTAAACAATCTCTCAGGATAACCATGAAAATCATCTCAGGCCTCCCAAAAGGCTCTTGGTAACCCCCAGGGACACCAGACCACACTCTGACACCTGCTGCCTTGTCCGTTTTTCTATTGGTTGCTTGTCTTTTTTTATTGAATTAAGATTAATCCTAGCATTCCCTGTATAATGGAAATATGATCATTCCTGTTTATGGGGAGGGGGATTAGGGAGATTGCTGTATGTGTTTATAGGAGTGTCTTAGTCCACTTGTGCCGCTGTAACAGAATACCACAAATTGGCTCATTTATAAACAATAGAAATTTATTTCTCACAGTCTAGAGGCTGGGAAGTTCAAGATCAAGGTACCAGTGGGTTTTGTGTCTGGTGAGGCTGTTCTCTGCTTCCAAGGTGGCCCCTTTTTGCTTCATCCTCTGGAAGGGATGAAGGCTGTATCCTCACCTGGCAGAAATGATGGAAAGCATCCCTCTTATTTTTCATTTTTATTTTTTTTGTTGGCTGGCCATCAGTCCCTTTCATATGGGCCCTAATCCTATCCATGAAGGCTCTGCCCACGTGACTTAGTCACCTACTAAAGGCCTCACCTCTTAATACTATCACATTGGCGATTAAGTTTTTTCTGTTTGGGCCGGCCCGGTGGCGCACTCGGTAGAGTGTGGCGCTTGGGAGCGCGGCGGCACTCCCGCGGAGGGTTCGGATCCCATATAGAGACCGGTCTGCTCACTGGTTGAGCGCGGTGCGGGCGCGACACCGAGGGTTGCGATCCCATTACCGGTCACGAAAAAAGACAAAAAAAAAGGAAAAAAAAAAAAAAGTTTTTTCTGTTTGTTTTTTAAAAGATGACAGGTAAGGGAATCTTAACCCTTGACTTGGTGTTATCAACACCACACTCTCCCAAGTGAGCCACAGGCCGGCCCTGTGATTAAGTTTTAATATATGAATTCTGGGGACACATTCACACCACAATGATTGTGTTTATACAATTGATCTAATGATTTTTTCCAATTTGGGTTGCTCCCTTTTTTTTTTTTTTTAATCCTTAGTAAGTTCTCCCCAAACTGACTTATATAAATATTTAATATTTGCCTTTACATTTTCCTAGTGTTTTGATAATTTTACATTTTCCATTTGA